ATTTCAGGAGTAAATGCATGTACTTAAGTTCGTCTTTGCTTTGCTTGGAAACCTGATACTAAATCTGGTTGTGCAAAAGCTTTTAAACAAAGTAAAATGCTGGCTCTGGACGATATCTATTTTTAAAAAAAGCACACATTTAGCCCAAGAGTAGACTAAATTGGTCTAGTTCACCAAAATAAAAAAAAATAAAAAAATAAAAAAAAGAAGCTGTGAATGTGCACTAAAATGAAATTTACCTTTATGCTTTAATGTTTTGCACTATTGTGTGGTTTGATAGCCTAAACAACTCCATGTTTTCAATTCCACCATCATCATTTTATGACTAAAGGGCAAAACAGAACAAAATGAAAATATTTCACTCCATAAATTTCTTTACTTTAACAGGGTATGTGAATTCTCTGTCATAAGACTCCATAATTGTCTTTCTCTCTCACTAAATGCATTATGAAGCTACAGCAGAAGATTGTCCATTAAACATAAAAACAACAAATGCTCCCACAGTGATTTAAAGGCTTGAAAATGGCCAAGATATTAACAAATTCATTGATATATTGTTGTAGAGACATTGTACAGTATTTCAGTTAAAAGTTCTGCTAAACATAATGTGAGTTATTTTAATCCAGTCTTTGAGAGAATGGACTGTTTTAATGCTATGAATCAATGTAAGAAACTCAAAGTGTGTGAAAATGTTGGGCCTGGCACATTCATGTGTTGCATCACATAGGTAGCTGGTGAAATACAGTCTAATTTCTGAGGTTAGGTAAAATTCTCTCCATCCTGAGGTAAGGAGTTTTTAGTCTTCTCTCATCATTTTAAAAAAAGGCGATATAAAGTCACCTCTATTGCTTTACTAAGGCAGACTAAAATGCAGTCAGAGACATGCTGAGCAAATCAGTGGTAAATTCTTGAATTATAAAGTTTTTCTGCTTGCACTTTGTTTCCAGTCTTTTCTAACATCACAGTCAGGCTTTAGAAAAATCAACAATCTATCCTAAAGTACTTAGGAATCATTTTTGGTAATTCTTTCACATTTAATGAACAGAGTGTGTTTACAAGAAAGCACAGCAATGGCTCTCCCTGCTGCGCCAGCTAAGGGGTTTTAAAGTCTGTGACCACACCCTGTATAGGGTTTATCAGTGTTTAATTGAGACTGTACTGACGTTTAACATTATTTCTTGGTTTGGACATTTAACTGCCAAAAGGAAAGCCAAACTTGGCAGAGTTGTTAAAATGGACAGTTAGATTACAAGCCAACAACAAATCAAATATTCTCAGCATTATATTAAAGAAGTGCATCTGCCATCAAGGAGCTGAACATGCTGTAACCTGAATGTCTGTTCTTCTTCCTTTCCTTTGATGAAGTGATTCTGTTGCTGCTGCTTTGTCTTAAATTAGCTCTTTTATAATGATGACCATCTAGAGGAATGGAAGGACACCTTAAGAACCTTAAGAGCAATTTGTTTGACTTGGATCCAGTTAAACAAAATTTGTTTAACCTCTAACAACGAATAAAAAAAACAAACTTTTTTTCCATTTAAATACTTGCCACACTGAAAAAAAAAATTCTATTTCTCTTAAAAATAAATAGAAATGTAGGTATTTGTAACAATATTAATAACGGTCAATGACAACCATTAGGAACCAGTTATAATGGAAGCAAGAGCTTGTCAAAGGTTGCCAGGTCTAAACGGAACGTGTAATAAACTGGGTGAATGCCCAAAACAAAAGTTTGTTTGCATATTTACAACAGTGGGCATCAAGGGGTTAAAGATACGCAACCTTTAAACACAGATGAGCTTTTTTATTTTTTTTTTTTTTTTACTCTTTTTATGTCCATTGTTGGATATTTGTCATTAATTTAAAAACCATTTTATTCTAATTTTGGGCTTATGAAAGAAAGAAAAATATCAACCAAGATTTATATAAAAGCAAATTGAGGTTTTACATTTTAAATGAATTGATATCAAAACAATCACACAGTTTGCAACCTAAAGACAAAAACATATACGTTAAAATATAGATATATTTATTTCCATTTTGAAACACTGGTTTATATTGTTTGCTATTCTTAATCAAAATAATTACAGTCCCAGTTGAGGGTTTAAAGAGCCACTCGGGCTCAGACCCCTGCTCTATTAGAATAAATTATCTGTGATAATAAAAAGAAGAAGATTTAATTCTCTGCTGCTATTTAGTCTTGCTAAAAGTTCAGGTGTATTTTATAATTGTCACAGATGGATATCAGATTCAACAGCAGCTTTTTAAATGCCTCTTTTGAGTTTTCCATTAAGGCCACGATGCTGTTCTTTGTTTTGATGCTGGATTTTATCTTCAGGAAACTACACACAAGTAAAAAAAAATGTATGCAGTTTTAAAAAATAGGTCTTTATAAATTCCACACTGTCCCTGAGCAGCCTTTTTTGTCCTGTTGTTCTAAAAAGCTTTCAGCCTTCATTGAGCTGAATTCCAACATTTATCTCCCCGCTTCTATTATTTAATCGTTTAAATCGAGTCCTAATCATCCTCAACATCCTTTCAGACACTTTGCTCCCCATCTTCAGTTCAGTTCAATGATAAATTCAAGACAAGAAAGCTGTAAAAATTAGAATATTCCTCCTGCACCCACAAGAGCATATGAAATGAACTAAGATGAGGAGGAGGAGGAGGCTGATGAAGATGGCTCATGCTGCAGTCTTTCACAACGGTTTTGTTGACTGTTGTGCGGGGAAGAGCTCATCAGTTTGAAGGAGAAAAAATTTTAATATGTGGAGAAGAGGGGCACTGTAGCGTATCTGCTCATTAGACAGCCGACGCTGTAATCCTGCAATCAGAGGCCTATTCATTAACATGGCGAGGGGGTGTGGGGGCATGTTTCATCTGCAACCACTTGAAGCTGCCAGTCACAGAGGGGGCGGATGCATGTTAGGATGACAAAGCGCGACGGCTTAAATGCTCAGGGATGTACATGCATGGAACGAGACGTGCATGAATGCTCCCTTAGGCTCTCATATTTGAGCGGGGAAGAAATTTTTACATTGTAGTGCTGGCAGGTGGCCCAAAGTGTGTCAGTCTGATAATCATTCCTGCTCAGCAGGAAGACGGCTTTTGTTTCAGGATTTCACAAGGAGCGGAGTCATTTTCCAGCACAGGTTTCTTCCTGGATTGAATTGATTGAAAGAGAGCGATTTTAAGACAGTTTATTCAAAGCTGAACGTCAAGGAAGAATTGGATCTTGTTTCTTTTCTTAATAGCATTCGGAAAACGAAACACACCTGGTCAGAAGACAATTAGATAATTTTACCCAAGCCTTAAGCATGAAGGAAACGAAAAAAAAAATAAAGCTCTGACTTTCATATATCTCAACGACTTGACAACGCTTGACTTTGGGATTTATTCCCCAAAAAAAGTTAACCGAAACACAAAAAAATTAAAGGAAGAAACAGATGTCTAAGTTTTGCTCACAGTCCTATTTTAATCTGCAGCTCATTGTTTTATGAGAAGTACCAATCCCTTTTCACCTTGAATCTGACTGGAAAACCTCTAAGCAATCATTAGAAAAAGACCCGATGCTAATTGGTGTTAGGCCCAAAGAGAGGAGGACTAGAGCTCCAATAAGATACCTTTCTACTTTAAATACTTTTGCATTGTTTGTCTAATAAAGCTGTTAGCATTTATAAATTGAAAATAAATTAAGATAGAAAATGACAAGTGAAGAATATTATGAACCTTAAAAAAAAGCAATAATATCAGGAAAATACTCCAGCGAGTGGGAAAGCTGAGGATTGTTTATTTGATGTTTATTTAATTTCTAAGTAGTTTGGTTTCCTTTCTTCAGTTCAGGTACCTGTATTAAGGAAAGAAACAAACAAACAAGCAAAAATAACCCAGCAAACAAATACAGCATAGAGCAGCTAGCCCCTTTTGTTGTTGTGTTTGAACTTATACATTTAGAAAATCTTTAGATTTGTCCATCTTGATCATTTCCAACAGTATTTTAAAACTCAATTTGTTTTGCAAAATTACTACTGATGTAGAAATAACATAAATACATTTCAGAACCTCACTCATTGTTGCAGGTATGGTTCATACCTTTTTATTTGGGGAGTCCAAAGCAGCTGTTATGTTCACTTATACCTTGGGCAGGCTTTTCTTCTTTACCTTTTATTTCCCTAGTAAAGTATAAGTAAACAATATTAAAATGAATAAATGTTCCCTTTTATGAGCTACCTGGTATTCAATAAAGAGCTGTTTTTTTTAAACATTGCTTCAGTCTCTGCCATTTTTTAACGTCTAAATAGGAAGAGAGCCATGTTGATCCATCTTGTGAAATCCTTAAACTTCTTCACATCCCAGCCTCTTAAGTGCTCGCAATCAATGCAGCAGTGGTAGATAATACATCTAAAAGGAGGTCATAAAGGCCTGAAGAAAAACCAAATTGATGGCCACACTTTAAGTGAATTCGTATCTAATCGTTTTCATAGCAGGATTGATCATATTTTCCTGCGACAGGTTGTTATACTGGATGGCCCAAATATTGCTCTGAATAACACGTTCCAGCAGGAATTTGACCTCTGAAAGGTGACCTTTAGATTTATGGCAGCAGGGGATAGAAAGGGTTTCCCAGTAAAATCTGACTATATTTTCTTTTTTCTGTTAACATCACCTGCAACACCTGCTAAGATGAAAACGCTCATTACCCTGGAAAATCTTTTTATCTAAATAAGTAATTTTTTCTTAAATGAGTGCATTTTTTTTTCAATTGAATTGGGGAGGTAGTTAAGACATTTTAACAATTGGAACAAAACAATTTACATTTAAAATAAGAAAAAAATGATTGCATTGTCTTTTTTCAAGTACATATTATCTTATTTTAAGAGTAAAAATCCTCATTCCATTGGTAGATCATCTTATTTTCCTATGCAAATTAAGGTTAATACGTTCAATTTAAAAATGTTTTACTTATTTCTAGATTGTTTCTACAATGTAAATAAACCTGATGACAGATTTGATGCAATTTATTTACAATGTACAAATACAGAATTTTTCCATGTAATGACACATTTAAAAGTGCTTTGAAAACAAGTTTTTATCTGAATAAATAAGATATTTTTTTCTCCTGACAACAGTACAACAACAAACAACATTAAAGCTGCAAATGGGCTCATAATGAAAAAGGAAAGCCTCTTGGGCATACTGCTACCAGGCTCTGCCATTTGAAGCCACAAGCACTAACTGGAAGAATGAGAGAGCTTCTGTCCTCTGAGAGGGGAAATAAAATAAAATAAAAGTATTCTGTGCTTCATTTAGAATAAAGAAAAAAAAATGTCCTCTGTTTGCTTGAAAGCGTCACCACAGTCCAGCTCAAAAGGAATAATCGAACAGAAAATGAACGTCCCTGCTCTGCCTAAGGGCTGCAGACAGGAATAGCTTTCCATGTCATCAGTGGTGAAAACACAGAGGAGGATTCTGCAGGTCAGCGGCTGATTGGAAGCTGCGGCAAAGAAATGGACGGATGAGTCAAGTGTCCAGGGCCAGCAAGGACGGAAAAGGGGTGAGCTGCAAAAGAAAACACAACACTGTATTCAGTTCCACTTCCTTATGAAGGCTGAAGAGCTCCTCTAGCAGCTAAACGCACCTTACAGATTTAGAGCCCATTTGGAACAAAAGGTTTGTAACCCACACAAAACTAATCGCATATTTTCAACAGTCTGTTCAACAGGAAACAGTAACACTCTTTTTGTTACCATAATATGACAACAATAAAATCATACTACTCCAGAGCGTCTGTAATGTCAGATAAAAACAAAATCATCTCCAACATGTGCCATAGAAAGGAGAAATCACAATAGAAACTTCCAATCTAAGAAATTAATGTAGTTAGTTTTTAGTCTGCCAAAAACAAATTCTCCTAAACATAATATACAACAATACTAAATTAAGGATTGTTTGATTAACCTCATGCTGCTAAAGGTTTCTATCTACTGAGGAATTAATTAATTAATTTGCTGGCATTTTTTTAAAAGCTACACCTTGGATCTGCATTCATCACTTGTACAACTTTTTTTATGGCTGGGTTTCATCTTTTTTCCTCCTTTCTAAAATCATACTGCCTTCATTTATAGGCACTCCTGGTAAAAAACAATTAAAATACATTTTTAGTTTTTTATTTTAATGCCACTATTTCCCAGACCTCTTTCTTTTAAAACCACCTACAACTCTCTGTAGTGGAATAAAAAAAAATAGTTTAGAAAAAAAAATGTATAGATATTTAGCAATTTCCTATAGTTAAAGTACAACTACAGATATATTTTGTGATATACATTAACGTGGCCGTACTAATAGGGTATCACTTCTGTGATATGTTATATTTTTACAGTTTGCTGTTTAATAATTCATTAAATGTGAGCAAAGCAATAAATACCACTTCTATACCTGCCATGGAAGTTAAAGAGATATCTTCCACACTCATACCTGTAGATCTATGTAATCATGTGTTAAGGCAAAATGATGAATAAATAGTCATCAGTTTCGCTTCATATTCTCTAAACTGAATCTCAGCTTTCTTGCAAATAGTTCAGAGCCGTTAACTGCAAACTAAAAACACTAATAAACTCATGTGTGATGTCCTTCATCAAACCTTTACCACGTGTATTTGGTAAAATACATGTCATCAGTGCAGTAGTGTGCACTGCGTTGTGATGACAATAATATTCTAATATTTCTCTCCTATTTATTACTTGCCAAACAACATTTTTTAGACCAAGACAAAATGTTCAAATTAGAAAGTTAATTATATCATATACATATGATCAAGTACACAGAAGCCAATTTCTCTAAGCCACTGTTCCAAATCAAACAGGCTAAAATGTAAAATGTGAGATCCTAACATTTGGAATGGATAGAAGCAATTATCACACTCCAAACAACCCTTTGAGATAGAAGTATTGCGAAGCCTGATAATGCCATGACAATATACACTCACCGGCCACTTTATTAGGTACACCTGTCCGACTGCTCGTTAACACTTAATTTCTAAGCAGCCAATCACATGGCGGCAACTCAGTGCATTTAGGCATGTAGACATGGTCAAGACAATCTCCTGCAGTTCAAAGCGAGCATCAGTATGGGGAAGAAAGGTGATTTGAGTGACTTTGAACGTGTCATGATTGTTGGTGCCAGAAGGGCTGGTCTGAGTATTTCAGAAACTGCTGATCTACTGGGATTTTCACGCACAACCATCTCTAGGGTTTACAGAGAATGGTCCGAAAAAGAAAAAACATCCAGTGAGCGGCAGTTCTGTGGGCGGAAATGCCTTGTTGATGGCAGGGGTCAGAGGAGAATGGCCAGACTGGTTCGAGCTGATAGAAGGGCAACAGTGACTCAAATAACCACCTGTTACAACCAAGGTGGGCGGAAGAGCATCTCTGAACGCACAGTACGTCGAACTTTGAGGCAGATGGGCTACAGCAGCAGACCACACCGGGTGCCACTCCTTTCAGCTAAGAACAGGAAACTGAGGCTACAATTTGCACAAGCTCATCGAAATTGGACAATAGAAGATTGGAAAAACGTTGCCTGGTCTGATGAGTCTCGATTTCTGCTGCGACATTCGGATGGTAGGGTCAGAATTTGGCATCTACAACATGAAAGCATGGATCCATCCTGCCTTGTATCAACGGTTCAGGCAGGTGGTGGTGGTGTCATGGTGTGGGGAATATTTTCTTGGCACTCTTTGGGCCCCTTGGTACCAATTGAGCATCGTTGCAACGCCACAGCCTACCTGAGTATTGTTGCTGACCATGTCCATCCCTTTATGACCACAATGTACCCAACTTCTGATGGCTACTTTCAGCAGGATAATGCGCCATGTCATAAAGCTGGAATCATCTCAGACTGGTTTCTTGAACATGACAATGAGTTCACTGTACTCAAATGGCCTCCACAGTCACCAGATCTCAATCCAATAGAGCATCTTTGGGATGTGGTGGAACGGGAGATTCGCATCATGGATGTGCAGCCGACAAATCTGCGGCAACTGTGTGATGCCATCATGTCAATATGGACCAAACTCCCTGAGGAATGCTTCCAGCACCTTGTTGAATCTATGCCACCAAGAATTGAGGCAGTACTGAAGGCAAATGGGGGTCCAACCCGTTACTAGCATGGGGTACCTAATAAAGTGGCCGGTGAGTGTATATTCACTTCATATAATGTAACCATGTTTAAAAATCTTTACAGACCACTGTTAGGATTGCATTCAATAACAGCTTTTAAAGATTGCTTAATCTCCTAAAAAGTAATTTATTCTATTCAGATCTTTACCAGGGGAGCCCATGATTTTGTGCAGGGTTCTTTACATTTTATCCCTCAAAGGAAATGAGAGATCAAATTGAATGCAAAAGCTTAAAATGACTTCACTCAAACATTCACCCTGTTAAAGCTTATCTGTCATCCATTATCTTGTTAAAAATAACACTTTTGAGACTAATCAAACAAACTGCAGACCAATTGCAAAGTTTGATATGATTTTTAGGTATCTATATACCCTAAAAACAGATCAGTCGTTTCAACCAAAAAATTGGTAAAATTTTACTGATCTTGTCGGTAGTTACATGTCCAACAAACCTTTTGGCTAAAATAACCAATCTAAGTGGGAAGCGCTCTACATTGGTAAAAGGGCAAACAAATACAAATTGGTTAATTTGATCAAAATATTGGATAATTAGCGTAACAACTTTGAAAGCCAGAGATTGAACCAATAACCGTTTGATTGCAGAGGAAACTCCTGCCATAACTAATACTTCTTGGAATCCACTAATAGTTAATACAAATGTCATAACCAAGGCTAAAACAAAAATGTGCATTTTGTACAGGTCCACATCTTTGTAATTACTCTCTAGGTCCATAACTATTACACATTATACTTGACTACAGCCAAACAGTCAGAGTGGTAAGTTACCACATCAGCTACCATTTCTACTGTATTGGTTGTTGGTTAATCTATTAAATTTCTTGATCTGAAACCAAAGGCTTCAACACTTTCTGATTATTAAATTGGTTCATCTAACCAAATTGGTTTAACCAACTAGAGTGGATTTAATAGTAGTTTTTTTGGCTTAAAAATACCACTTCAAGAGTAATAGATTTTAGTCCTTTGTTTTATATCATAATGGGCAAAAGTAGTAAATATGCTATTAACTTCTAAACCGGGTCTAGTTCTTGTGTTCCTTGATACCTGAATAAGATTCCACCATTTCTTTTAAAGGTTTGTTGCAAAAGCTGCATAATCACACTGTACTCAAGTGTCTGTGATGTAAAATATTCACAAAATTCATCTGTAAATATAGTTGCAGCTTACAGAAAAAACAGGGAAGTGAGGTGAATAAATAAACCACTTAGAAATTCTTCAAAATCTGCTGCGCTTAAAAAGCGTATGAGTTTCAGGTCAAACACTGAAAACATTTCAACTTAAAGATGTCATCTGGTTATTATAAAAATCATTTTCATTAAAAACAGCTAACCCAATAAAAGCCTGACACTCACCATCCAGGTATCCGTGCAGAGCCAGGAGGTGAGGTCGGTCCGGGCTGCTGAAGGAGGAATAGTGGAGATCTTCTGGAAGCGACGGCGGCATCCTGGCCAGTGGAGCGTTCTGAGGGAAGCTGCTCTGAGGGGGCTGCTTTTTGTGTCGGGCGCGGCAGTTCTGAAACCAAACCTGGAGAAGAATGCAGACAAGGTTAACAAACATGTGGGAGTCGGACAACAATCACTGTTAACCTTGACATTGTTATCTAGCTTTTGATGTGCAATTAATAAATAAACCAAAACTATAATATATCTATAAAATAAATAGATATATATCTATATCTATAAAATAGAGCAAAACAGCAGGAATCATTGTTCTTATAAAGAAAGTCACTTAATTTAAGAATATCTACAACATTAACCACTATGGACGCAACTATTTTGATCTAATATGAAAATACAAAAGCTTTAATTTAAGAGCCTTTATCCAACTATTGGGGAAGGCAAAGAAACTTTCACAAGCTAGTAGGAGACCTACTAAATACATAAAGCATGTGGTTGAAAAGTAAAGGTAAAGGAATGTCCACAATTTTCTTTTAATGGATAGGACCCAAAGGCTTAAAAAGTTGAACAAAAATAAAAAGAACTTGGGGCAACTTATGGAAAAGACAACAACAACAAAAAACAGCACATAGTGACTGAAAAGGTGTGAAGAAAATCCCTTTATCATCACTGTGCCATAATGCAACCGAAGGTTTATCACATTTCATCATTTCCCCCTGTAAGTGAAAAAGAAGAAGCAACTTTATGCACTGCTGATAAAAAAATAAATAAAAACTTATTATAATGTGCTTCTTCAAATTTGACCTCTTCATTCTTTTCTCAGCACATAACCACCAGCCACTCTGCACTAGTTTGGTGTTGGCTGCTTTAAATAGCTGTTTAATATCCATTGAGTACTAGTCCTGCACTACTAACATTAAGCTATATTGTTAAAACACTTTGCAGTACAGTAATTTATTGTTTATCTTTTAACTCTTCACTGTTATGTTATTCTTATACATTTTTCTAGGGTCCATATTTCTGTGACAATTTTTTTCTATAATCTTTTTGCTGATGTAAACACCCGAATTTCCCAGTTATGGGAAAATAAAGGGATTTTCTATTCTATTTCTATTATATTCTACTCAATAAATATGGTCTTACAAATAGAAGACTAGTGGCATAGACAGATAAACTGATCCTTTTTTCAGATTGTATACAACGCTTTTGTTCTCAGTTTTTTAATAGATCTTCTTAACAATCCTTTTAAAAATTCTGATATTCCAGTTGCCTATTCTGCTGCGCATCATCATTTCATTTCACCTACTTCTTATAAGACAAACTTCTATGGCTTACCCTGTTTATGGAAATAATCTGCTCAACATCCTCTCTTAAGAGACCATTACATCACAGTTCTTTACTATAAGCAGCTTTTTTTCATCAGTTTTAAGCCATCTATTGAACAGAAACAAGAATTTGTGTAATGAATCTATCTTTTCTGATGATATTCTCCTTACTGACATGCAGCTGTATTTTTTTTTTACAGTAGCAGGAAAAGTTTTCACTTGTTTTGTTGTCTTTTGTTTGCAAACAAGATTCTCAGAGAAATGATTTCAACACCTGCCTGAATGACTCTTCTGCTAAGTCCCGTCATTTCTGCCAGTTTCTGCAGCGTCTGAGCATCAGGGTTGTTGTCTTGGGCAAACTGAGTCTGCATGACCTGCAGGAGAGAGATACAGCACTGATATAAAAAAAAACAACTCTTGCTGTTTAACAAGCAGCTGCAACTCAGTTCAATTCAGTTTATTTATATAGTTTATATTTATAACATGCCATTTCAAGGCCCTTCCCAAAGACAGTTTAATCAAATATTGCAGACAGATTTGTTAAAGGTTATCAAGCTTATTGCATTGAGGCATTGACTTTGCAGGATCCACTCCTCCTGGATTAGTTCGTAGTGACAGAAGACACTTGCTGCATTATGTTATTGACTAGCAGCAATCCCTCACATTGAGCATGAATGCAGTGAAAGTGAAGGGGAAAAGCTCCCTCTGCAACACTGTAACATCCCTGAAGACAGGGACATACCTGCAGCTGCTCGGCCGTGAACGAGGTCCGTGCCCTCTTTGCTGGTTTTGGTTGGCAGTCCTGATCTGAAGGCAGCGCTCCTTCCAGAGTCAGACCGGTGCCTGAAATTAAACAAAACGTATTCTAGTCATTGACTGTAAGAACAATAGACCAAAAGGTGAGATTGCAAAAGCAGATATTAAACTGAAATACTTTTAGTTTGGCTAAATGGAGCTTAAGTTTGATTTCAATCTGGAAGACTCATCAGTTTCACCTGAACCACCTGCGATATCCCCTGTTCAGCTCGAAGCCAATCAGCTCGGAGCTGCATCTTCTCTGAAGCCAATCACCTTTCAAGATCCTCCTCATTTAGCTTCTGGCCCAGCTTCTTTCAAATGTTGATTCACAGTATCAAAATCTTTCGCCGGGGCCCGAGCTCAAAATAACTTATTTCTTTTATATCATTATCTGCTTCCATCTCGTTGAATCCTAGTTGCTCTCGACAAGATGCCCACTAACACTAAGCCTGGTTCTGCTGGAGGTTTCTTCCTGTTAAAAGGAGGTTTTCCTCTCCACTGCGGGATTGAAGAGAGTCAATGAGTCAATGCAATCAGCTGGTTTTCCTTAGATAGGAATATTTTTAAGAATATGATTGTGTTACCTGTATTAGTAAATTGCATAATACTTTTCTAATTACAGCTTTCTCTGTGTGATTCTCTCCAGGTTGAAATTTTGTTATTTTATCATTTTGATTTAAACAAAGGGAGTTTAATCACTAAACAAATGAACCAAAAATGACTCAGCGGTCATCAAAAACTGTGAGCTCATTTCCTATTATTTTACTCTGTCAAATCTCTCCGAATGTGTTATAGTGTAAGCGACACATTCATGACTCACAAATTGCTTTGCTGGTTTCACCATTAAACAGACTGTAAATTAAGGATTTTATTTTAAACTTTAGGTCTGCTAAAATTTAGGTATTTCACTTTAAGTAAACAAAATGTAAAAAATAATATAGCTCATCACAAAATTTAAGAAGAGTTGCATTGTACATAATTTATCCTCCATAATCAATATAATGATTGCATATCTCATATGCACGTCTAAGTCTACATTCTTTCATGTGGATTTGAATAAATAACTGTAATCCAGCTCATCTGAATTCATGTTTAGTGGTTTTGCTACCGTTTTCTGCAGCCCTGCGGAGATTTTCCAGCATGATGTCGTAGTGGCTTCGGCAGAGCACTCTGCCCTCCACCAGGCCAAACTCCTCCCCGGTGGACAGCTGCCTCTTGCAGGAGAAGCAGGCGAAGCAGGCCAGGTGATACACACTGCCCCGGGCCCGCCGCACCCAGTCACTGGCATATACCTGCCTGCCACACTGGGCACATTTTGTTCCGAACCTACTGTGAGAGAGGAGGACAAGAACATGGTGAGGATATCCTGTTTCCAACCTTGATTGGTTGTATCTAATTAAAAAAAAAGCAATTGCTTTACATTAAATCTGTGTATTTGATTTATTTTTTATTTAAAAACTAAATCAAGAGCTTGAGAATGTTAAGAAGAAATTTGCATGTGGAAATAAAGGGTTCAGACCATGAGGCTTTTAGGGGTCGGTTTGCTATAACAATCTTGAAAAAAATGAAAGTAAATCCAATGATAATAAGGGACTGCCTCTGAAAAATATAAGTGGATACATTCATTTATATCATAGGGTTAAAAGAGCAAAAATTTATGAATAAAGAGTTGAGCTCAGTAAGTTTGATAAATGTGTCAGACCCTAAAGATTGCACAAACCTAGCTAATGATTTGATGAATACTTTGCTTTCTTATACAGGTCAGACTCTAAATGAGCCAGTCTTTAATTTGTGGCAGAAAAATATAAATCATTTAGCATGAAACGTAAAAAAAAAAATAACCAGTAATTTGTCTCTTAAATACAAAAAGTTTTTTTTTTTTTTTTTTTTTTTTGTTTTTTTTTTTTTTTTTTTTAAGTACAACAAATCCGGGGAAATATAGATGGATTATTATTATTATTATTATTCGTGGCATTTTTCTTTTTTTGTTATTTTGTTATTTTATTTATTTATTTTTTATTTTTTACAAAAAGTTGCATTCATCTGTTTAATTTAAAATACAACCAATAACATGGAGCTTATGGATGTGCTAATTTGAAATACCTACAGAATATTAGACCACTTCTTTTTTATTTATTTATTTATTATTATTATTTTTTGAATTTCACAACTTTCAAAAGGAAAAAGAAAATGTCTCCTTCTGTGTTTTTTTTTAGGATCAAACAAATATATATAGATTGCTTTTTATAAGTCTACATAAAATATTTTAAAACAGACAAGTTCATTACAAATAATGTAATGGTTGAAGATGATATGACAATTTATTTACATATTTCTAAATTAAATACATATCCAAATATCCTCTGATGCGTCTTATTTTCAATCAGAAACAAATTTCTTGGTTGAATGTAAACATTTGTTTGCTTGTTTTTCCTTTTCTGTCAGGGTATTGTGCTTTACCTCATCCATTATTATATCGCAAATCTACATTATCATATCAATCTAAATTACGCCGAATCAAGCAGAAACCGTTCAGTGGCCCTAAAATATTTGAAATGCATGCACTTATGTAATAATTAAAATAAAAGCGACATATGTTCTTTTTAAATCAAAGATTCCAACTAGGAAGAAAGTGCATTTATAAGCTATGTTGGTTTTAACATTTAATCCAAGGAGCAATATAGGTCTAAATATTAGATTAAATGGGGATTAGCACCGCTCCTACCTGAAATAATCCAGTTTGCAGAAGATTTCTTTGTTTTTAACGTAGCAGCTGTTTTGTTGCCGCAGAGACGCCCTACAGACGGAGCACTCCAGGCAGCCTAAATGCCAGTTCAAGTTGTTCACCTGACATTAAAAAAAAAGGACAGGACGCATGAGCTAATTAAGGCTCTGTGAGCGCAGCAGATCATTTATGTAAATACCACTTTTTCTGTTTTATGTGTGAAGCTTTCACAGAAATAAACACAAATCAACACCATTAAGCTTTTTAAAACTAAAATCTGCTGAGGGTTGGAGGTTATCAGAGTGATTTGATGACCTTCAGCAGGTAGCGGTCCTGGATCTCCATCCCACAGCTGGCGCACTGGTTCTTGGCCGCCGGAGGAGAGCAGAGGCAGGCGGCCTCCAGTGGGCTGGACTCACCGGACTCCTTCTTCACATCCGGCTTAGACTGTTTCACAAAACACTGCTTTTTAAAAACAACAGATCAAGCACGGCGGTAATAGTAAAAAAAAAAAAAAAAAAGTACCAGAATATTAGATCATTTTAAATCCTGTTTTGTTTCGTAAAAACTTGGATAGCCTATAATCAGCAATCAGCCTTTAATAAGGATTATCTTTCCATTTGCAATACTTAGGCTAAATATCAGTTCCTGAAATTGACACATTTTCTGATTGCGATTAAATCTAATGCCAATATCTAAAGAACTACATAATTTAACATTTAAAACCCTGAGGAGGCCTACTTTCCAATTACACTCCAAATAAAATACTTTTTCTTTAAACTCCCCTTTATATGATAATTAGCAAAATAATTGAATTATGTCGGATAAATACTTAAATAATGTCAGAACACACTGTTGGTAACTATCCGGATTTTACTGCTGTTCAACGATATTTTCTAAGCCTAAACCTGGTTCAACTATTATTAAGAAAATGTTTTCATTCATAAGAAAAAAAAACAGTCATATTTTGAGTGACCTACTTTTTATTAAAAAGAAACAACGTTTTTTTATTATTTGTTGGACAGTCCTGTTATGCAGCCGATTTAGCCAGTTTTAAAATATATATAAAAAGAAATGAACAAGCAATTAAAACACTTGATTATCATAAGAAAAATATCTATTTTTATGTATTTTTTTCCTCTGTGAGACAATAATTCTGGAAATAAAAATAAAAAAAAATCTATTTTAAGATTTCGTTTCCATCATATTCAACACCATAACTACAGAAAAAAAAAAAAAGAACAACAAAAAAAAAAAAAAAGGACCCAATTCATTTGCCAGGAAAAAACAAAAATGGATTATTCCCGCACATAGGATAAATGCGCAAACTGTAAATTGTTTTGGATTAGTATAGTTGAGTTTTAACAATTTTACAGAAGCGCAAAACAAAAAAATGGAAGCAAGGATTAATCCAACATACAATAAAACAAATGAAGTTATCATAATTTTAGCCCTGACTGAGGATTTCTGTTAAGGTTTGGACATTTTCCTGCACCTCTGGTTAAATGCGCTCTGAGCAGCCGACCTCCTATGAATAAAGTTGAACTAAAAGATGCAGTCATAGAACAGATCTCTCTCTCTCCTGTTCGCCACTCACCATTTCCAGGTCCTGAGTTCTGCCTAATCGTAGTGGAGACCCAGTTTGCTCTGCGCATTGCGCATCTTTGCTCCAAACGCGCGCTACAGCCGCTCCTAACTCAACGTCTTACAGCTTCTCCCGCATTTAAACCCTGACAACAAAAGGAATTTGGTGCAATTAGATATAAAAAAAGAGGAAAAACACTACGGATCGATCCTTCCCATTGCGTTCAACGGAAGGTTGCGTGTTGCAATCACATGCAGAGAAAAGAAAGGGTGGCACTATGTCTGCAATTAGCGGCGGATTGAAACGCTGCGCTTGATAAGAGGCAACCCGAGTGTCAATTTCATCTGTCAATCAGGAGGAGGGAGCAGGGCCACCAAGCTGAGGAAGGGGGGGGAACGCTGCGCTCCCTAATTTCAATAGCTGTATAATCGAAAATCGAAAAATCTCCAAAGTGAAGAGCCTCAATTGGAGATCGCTCTATTCATAACAGACAATGTGCAGAAACTGCTGCTGATCTTGAGACATAAAGGAGCCTGATTGTCTCCTTTCTCGTGATGGACCCATTTAGACACTCCAGGCTCCCCTCAGTGATTACAGCTGCATTCAGAAAGTGCCAGAAATCTGCGTTTGGGGGGCAATCTGGACTCCGTGTTGTCCTTCACTTCTCGAAATTAACAGGAATGCAAGATCATGTTAATTACCGACTTGGATGTAAACACTGGAGGGAGTGAAACAAGAGGAGATGGTCTGTAAAAACTTCTGGGACAGAAAACCTCCGTAATGCGGCGAAAACATCATTCGGGGATAAATGGTTTATCCAGAAAAAGCGTCTAAATAAATCCCAAAAGGTTTTTTATGGGCAGTCCTTTATGCTTTTAAGAAAAAGCTGATCCAAGATGAACCTTGAGGGAATCCATCATGGTTTCCAAACACTCTGATCTGAAATAGACTCAGAATCTAGTCCCAGTGAGCAGAGGCAGGATATGATGCTGAGCCCTCCTCTACAGTAACTCAGACTAACTCAGAACCATCGGCGTCGCCAGACCCCATTTACTGGGGCACGTGCCCCAGTATAAATGAGCTGTGCCCCAGTATAAATCTCATGAATATTTGCAACAGTATTACATTTTTTAATGCATCAATTTAGATAATTCCAACGCGCAGCAAGTGTGTTGTTAACTCCAAATTGAGGATGAATTAGCGCCCCCACGTCAGCGCATGTCACTGCATGAACTGCAGGTAAACTAACACACTGTTCTCAACTGTTTTGGATGGGACACTGAGCGGCCGCGACGCATTTTTAGTTCTGGTAACGTTTCTTACCTGTCAATTTTATTATTTTCCCAGTGAAACCACATGATTTATAGGCTACTAACTGAAAATGACTGCATTGGTTTGTAGATGGATATCAGGAAATTCCTCACACGAAGCAGAGACAGGGAAGCAGTAAAACAAGATGAGAGAGGGAGGTAAGGTCCCGTGATGAATTAGTGATTTAAGCTAAGCAGTTACATTAGGGACGTTATAAGCAATATGATAGATATTTACATAATTATAGATTTACGTTTTTTAATGTTTGCTGTAGAGGATGAGAATGAAGGTGCTGGAGTAGGAAAGGGAGGATGAGGCGAGACTGACAGGCAAGAGACAGGTGAGAGACAGGAGATACAGGACCATGAAGGTGATGAGGGAGCAACAACCAGCCTCCACAAACAAGAAGGGGACATTAGTGACTTAGGGGGAAAGCATGATGGTCCTAAACAAGTGAAGTTATCCCACTATCCCCAGCACAAATTTGGAGTAAAAAAAACGTTTGTTTAATTCAAAATGGTTTGAAAGCTTTTTATGATTGAAAAAGAAAGCCTTGTCATCAAGGATATGCAGTGTGTTTTCAACTTGCTTGATAACATCATATTCCCAAGACTAACACAGGTCATCCAGATCTCCCTCACAATCCCAGTCAAAAGCTGTAGTTATGAAAGGTCATTCAGTGTGTTGAGAAGGTTCCACACTTGGCTGAGGTGCACAATGGGACAAGACAGGCTCCATCATCTTGCTATTTTATCAGTTGAAAAGGAAGAACTTTCTAAGCTGAGTCACAGTCAAGTGATTGACTGCTTTGCAAAAATGATAAATAGGAGGTACACTTTAATGCTCAAAAAATTAACTCATCCTGAACTTAGTTCAGGATGAGTTAACATTTCCCCCGAACTAAAACTCTGAAACCTAGAAATTAATGATTACTTCAGAATGTGTATAAGGAAACGTTTTATTTTTAAAGTTGGTAATGTCTTATTTTTTATAGCTGCAATGTTGAAAATGTTCATGTTTGTTAAAACAAATATGCTCTTACAGTTATTAATATCTCAACTGGTAATTTTGGTTGGAATGTATCAGGGTTGGGCAGTGTGCTTGTCTATATTTGTGTATGGCAGGAGGGGCATATGCGGTAGGGGGCCAGTGCCCCAGTAAAGCTTTGTGCCTAGCAACACCCCTGCTCAGAACACAGTTTATAAAAAGAAAAAACACACACACATAGCAACCTGTGTTTTTTCTTTACATCTGAATCTCATTTAGTGTTTTGAGCTCAGTTCCTTTTAAATGTTTGCACTTTCAACCTGATGCAATAAAATGGCAATAAAAAACTATTAACATATTTTGTTTTCATGTAAGAAATTGGGGCAAACGGCAACTATTGCCAGAGGCATTAAATAGTTCCGAACGTTTGAACTTTGGAGATTCATTTTTATTTTTTTTTATTTGGATTTTATCCTGCTCAAAGACTGACATTGTCAAGTTGAACAAAAAGCAAACACTTGGTTCTAGCCTTCATCAGGTCAGGACATTATAATCATTTCAATGTATTCCAAAAAGGTGAAAGATCTCTTATTGTCATCAGTTTCTAAACAAATATGATTTCAAAAATGGAAAAGTTATGAATTAAAAGTTATTCAGTCTCATGACGGTATTAATTTGTTTGACCTTATCAGACAGGGTTGATTTATCTCATTGACACGTGCATTTGAACTTTACCTGGGGAATTGCAACCCCTTGATTCTTATGTTTTTCAGTCATTTTGTTGCAGATGTGCTGCTGGGATTTAAATCTTTTTCCCGTAGATGATCCTGCTTTGTCCAAACAGGAGCTGCTTTAAGTTTCGCTCAAGAATGCTATGATATCAAGAGCAGCTCAAGGTCACTACAAATTATTATTTATCTGTGTTTTAGGTGAATGCTTGGCTTACAATTTTCTCTGGGGTCGCCCGATTCTAAAGAGATACAGCAAGTTTTTTTAATGATCAAGCCTACCGCACAATGCGGGACAAAATGGGACGTTTAACGCTACTGCAGGCGTGCCCAAAGTTGGTCCTCTATTGCAGCTGTCCTGCAGGTTTTGGAGGTTTCCATGCTACAGCACGGTTGATTTTCATCGATAGCTGATTAACAGTGGCAGTGGCCCTCGAGGACCAACTTTGGGCATGCCTGCCCTTCTGGGTCTGGGGGGTGGGACTTAAGAGTTTAGAAAGAAACAGTCTACACATTAAAAAATTTTCTGTTCAGGATGGAGCCAGACCTAATCACCGTCAGATTGCATTATGTTTGCCTCCTATTCCACACTACTTCTGTCTATTTTTGTGTAAACCTGTTCAAGATTACAGCTTCTCTCTCTCTAAAAGCCCAAGGCCAGAAGAAACCAACAATAGTTCATAGTCTCTTCGAGTTTTGCATTTTTTTTTTGACCAGTTTCAGAACGAAGGAGAGATTAAAATTAAAGCACAACCTCTTTCATTTGACTCGTAATAGACTGATAGACCTTTTGTAAAACTTTAATATCTTTGAGTATGTAAGAGATAATATTTTGCATATTCATTCGTTTTTATTTGCAAGTTCTTGTATTTTGGGTGGAAATTAAAGCCTCAGCTTTGTCCGTCTCAGTCATTGTGTCCTTCACTCTCCTTGTTGTCTGACGCCCTGTTGGTGCCACCGATTGTGGCTCCACAGGAACACAGGAGACCGCCGATTGCGGCTCCGAATCAGGAAGTGAAGAGGCCGCCCATTGCGGCTTCGCATCAGGAGCAGAGGAAACCACCGACTGTGGCTCCACAGGCACACAGGAGACCGCCGATTCAGGAGTCACTGGATGACGCAGAGCAGGCTCAGGGGTTCCCCAACGGCCCCAGATCTCCCGACATCTGCGATTCCACTCCTCATCACGTCGACGCCGCTTCATCTCCCACTCCTCTTCTTGTCGACGCCGCTCCATCGCCAACTTTCGTTTCAACTCCTCATGACGCCGGAGCAACTCCTCCCACCGGGATAATGGCGGAAGACTCAGAGCAGGCTTAGGGGTCTCAAGACGTTCCAGAATCTTCTGCCATCGACGGAAAGAAACCGTCCAGAGTGGTTCAGTGGAGTTTGTCGGTTCCTCCTCATACATCCTCAGGAATGCCTCTGTTGGGTCTGCTGGGCTAGTCTGTTGGCCGGATCGTTCTGTCATGATGTGGTTGGTTTGCTAGCCCAAGATGCAGAACTCACAGAACAGAGGCAGGATTAAAGTCCAATAATTTATTGGAGAACTCAGGTTTTCCCTCTGGGAGGCAGAGAGGACAGAAACAGGTTATGCTCAAATACAGGTTTACAGGTTTCCAAACTCACAGGTTGCAGATTCAGACAGGCAGGGTTAAACAGGCAGGGAGGCTCTGGTTTGCTTCCATGGCAAGGACAGGACAATGACAACGGCAAGGCATGGCATGGCAGAGCATGGCATGGCAACAATGACTATGACCACGATCCGGCTCAGAGAGAAGCTATGACTCAGCTTATATAGGGAGAGGTTAATCAGCAGAGCTGATGGGAATCAGCTGAGCGCAGAGAACCAGCTCCCAGGAGAGGATCCACGGCGCCCTCTGGTGGGCAAACCTCTGGATCCCAACAGAAACAGAAGCCCACAGGAAGGGATCCACACAGCCCTCTGGAGGGCATGTGTGGATCCCTCCGGATGTTTTTTTTGTACCTTTTTTGGAATGACTATGACCCGGATGACTCAGAATCTTCACTAGCATAATATGAGTAGCTTTTCTTCATTTGAACTTATCAATTGTTTTGTGTGTTTCTTCGATTATTCAGATCATTCCACAGTGGATCTTAGTTTAAACCAAAACTTTATATAACTTCATAAGTTGAATTTTTCTCATTTTCATTGTTTATTTGTATAAACTAGAAAGGCCCCCAGATCTTTAAAGACCAATACACTTGCCTTTCAGACTAGAATATAAAGGTATAGTGGAGAATGTTTTTTTTGCCGGGTGGATCATCATAATAAGTGGTCCTCTTAATTGTCAATCATTCTGGTGATATGTTTACATAAGGCCGTCCTATGTGCTCGTCCCCATTTTCACTTACCGGTGGTGAGTCTGACATAGTGGAAAAATTGCAAATCTTCATTTGGAAAGTAAGCTCGTAGGAGCGATGCAAACAGCAACATTTAAGGATCTGACACCCGTTTAGGTGTTCCCTCTTGAGAGCGGGTACAGGGTGGTGCATGTGAATTTTTTTTTAAGTGGAGATCTTTTCAAAAAATCATGAAAATCCTCCACAATACCTTCAATAATTAGATGCTAGATGTTTGCTCTTTAGTTCAGGAACAAGATGCCTGAAAACATGAGATGTGCAGAAACTTTTAGTATCCTTAAATTTGACTTAGTCAGTAATGTTTGTCTGTCCCTTTCATCAAGTCTTTGCTATGTTTTAATGTTTATTTTTAAAGAGGCTTGTTCATCTTTACTGAATTTTCTCAATCCTAATATTGCTAGATGTAAGTCTTTTTATTAGATAATAATATGAAAAACAAACGTTTGCAGATTTATCTAAAATCCTTTTCACTCTTCAACGATGTTCTTGGTGATCAATTGATAATTTTTCTAAAAACACTTCCTAGAAGTAGAGGGGTCTATAAAATGGTTTAGCTGTTATTGATCCCCTAAAAAGCATCTGTAACA